TCTCTAGCGAAGAAATTGATCAAGTTTGCAGAAGAACTGCAATAGATGTTGGAACAGACAAGATAATGTTGGAACATGACCAAGAACAGATGTTCATTCTTAAAAAAAAAATTGGTTTTCAGAGAAAGAGAGTGTGATGTACATCCTTGTTCCTTGATTTTCTTGAGAGGTTTTGAATGAATGTGTTAACCAAGATGGGAGAGATTAATGTGCCCATGCATCTCCAACAAATCCCAATGAAAAGTTTCAAGAAGTGAGTATCAAAAAGTATTGATGCTACCACTGAGGGAGAGTCGATTCTGAATCTAGAGAGTTTGAAGATGAGGTTGGATGTACACATTCAGTCAGGGGGAGAATGAAAGAGAGGTTTCTAGAGCAACAGAATACGAGCTACTGGAACACATGCAGAGCTGTTCCAACACGTGGAGAAAAGTGAGATTTGGCTCTTATTGAATTAGAAGCCCAATTATGAGAGAGTTAAAAGCCCACATGACATGAAACGTGAGGGTTTCGTGGTGGTAGTATAAAAGGCAAGAGGCGTTGACAAAAAGATTTACGTGCCTAGGGTTCCTTTGTGAGATGCACACATGTGTGTGTGGCGTCGTCCACCATATTGATGGTGGTTTGTCTATGAAGATTGCAGCCGTTGAGAAGTTGGTGTTGCACCGGCGCTGCTGGTTGGTTGTCAAGCATTCGGTCTTGATACCTATCTTCATAGTTTGTCCATGTAGAAAAGATGGGTGGTATGCCATATAGCAATTGTAGGTTGTGGCTTTTTCTAATGGATTGATTCTGGACTAGATCTCGGGGATATAGAAAAAACCGAACCTCGTGAAAAAACTCTGTGTTTTTTTATTTTATGCTCATACATACTCGTTACAAACACAAACGTAGAGATCTAGGCACAATCCGTTTTTTCAATATAATAAGAAACTGTTATGGGTAGGCCTTTATTCGTTTATAGTTAGTCACAAGTGTGTGTCGCCGTCGCTTTTGAATTCAATTTTGGAAGATTCATTCTATCCAGTAAGTCCTTCTTAACTTTTGTTATGGTGTGTCCCCAAATTAAAAATGTTTTTAGATTTGATAATTCATGGCAAATTCAGATTATTGATAGATAATTGATTGGTATTCCTATCTTAACGACGCAAGAATTATAACGATTTTACTAAAGATGTGATCATGTTGGGGTTTGGATGATGATGATTGCGTTGGAGGTGTCTTGGGTAGTTTGTGATAGGAACCATTGTTAGAGAAGAATAACTTTACGATGTCGATAGTTCTATGGTATAATTTTTTTTTTTGTTCCATTTTTTCTGTCACAAAATTCAGTAAAAGAAGATGTGAACGCTTGAAGTTCTCTTCCCTTACAACTTTCGTATCATATACAGAATTTACAAAAATACCATCGATTTCTTTTTCCTTCTTTATTAAAGAGGATAGACATTAGAGAAGGATTTAGCTCTCATTTTCATTGTTCTTTAGAAATAAATGATATAAATATATATTCAACAGCTTGGCCTGTGTAGCCTCCACTTGATGCCTTCTTTTTAGATACTTTGTTCGATAAGTTAACAGTCATAGATACTCGATCACCATGGTTATTGATCCCTAAAATTTAACTCTCCGCTCAAATTTTGTTTATTTTCCATCCATTTACTTTGCTTGAACAGTGGATATATATGTATATTTTCTTATTGTACACTCTAAATCGGTAATTGGATTGTTGTGGACCTCTTATTTGGTTACAATCGGCCATGTCCTCGGGAGCATATGGGTTTAATTTCATGTATTGGTGATGTAATCAATCGGATTTTTACGAGTAATGTCTTCTAGTTTTGTGTTTCTTGTGCATATAGTGTCCCTGTGGAGTCTCACATATTGTTACTCTGTTTTTCGTAATATACGGTAAGTATATCTTGTCTACACCAATCTCCCTCTTTTAACCGTAAATCGTTTCTTTGCATCTATCTATATCTTAGGTCTAAGAGATTGTGTGTTTGAGAATGATGTTTTCCATAATCGAGACTGATAGTTTGCAGAATTGATTGTTGTAGAGTCGTGTTGTGTTGCTGTCTCGTCCCAACTGTGTTTCGTCACCTTCTCGTCCCAACCGTGTTTCCTCGCCATGCCATCCTCTTGAGGATTCTTTCGATCCTTTTTTCTGTTCACCATCATTAGATACGATAAGTATATCTTGTCTACACCAATCTCCCTCTTTTAACCGCTAATGAAAACCTACCCCTCTAATTGGTTTGTTTGCTTCATTAATCTGACGACTCTTCTTATCCTTCTTATTCTGACAACTTTAGAAATCTTTGTAATGCAATTCACAAACAATCTTTAAAAACCATAATAATTTTGTAAATTTTTAAATCAAAAAGATACTCGTAAGTAGGAAAGATTTGTACATTTGTTCCTTTAGTTTTTGAGGTCAGCATTGTCCATTCTGATGGTTAAATTAATAATTTGTACAGATGAAAAAGTGGTTATTTGGTTACTGTGATATATGAGAGAGTTATTTGACTAAGATGTGAGAAGAATAATCTTGCCAATTTGCAACTTGTTCATTTATTCTCGTCCCAAAATAACATGTTCTAATTTTAGGGATACATGGAATTAAACCTATGTTGTTTAGAATAAAATACAGAGTATTTGTGGAACTAAAATGTAGTTTTGATCCTTTATATCTTTTCAAAATTAGGACCGTTGCATTCTTCCACATTTATTCTATAAAGTTTTCAAAATTTGAGTATTTTATTTTATCTTCTTATAAGATAGCAGCTGCAAAGAGGCCAAAGAATAGTGTTGTAGAAGAGGCGGCAGCCACAGTTGAATATTTGATCAATAACAGAATCATTGAGGTAACTAATCTTGTGGGTTTTGTTTGGAATATACGGTTTTATTTGGCTTATTTGTGAGATGTATTATATACGTTGTTGGATAATTTAGGATTATGTTATTTTGGTGTGTCTGAGGTAAATGATAGTAACAAATGTTAATTTAGTTGAAAAACTATGTGTTATTATTCTTTGCGTTTAAATCGGAACTCGTTCAATAATACACGGTTTTGTTCTTAGTCAAGACTTGTTTTGCAATCATTAGATTATAAATTTATGTGCTGCTTTCTTTCATTGCAATCAATGGACGATACTAATTGGTTCAAACAAATTACTTGTTACCTTAACCAACAAAACCTGTCGAGATCTTAAATGTTTGTTCTATGGTACACCTTATAACTTGTATTGATGCACAATATAATAAGACTCAACTTTGGATTGAAATCAGACATAAGAATTTTCCAAAACATGTCTTATATCATTGGGGAGACCTCAGAGCATGCATTTGATTTGAGTATGAATGGGTAGGTGTAGATAAAACTTGTATAAATATTTTCAGAGTTCCAAGACATTCCAAGTCAAACTAAAGGAATGGAAGCATGGCTTTGATTTGTCGATGGGACCAGATGAGCTGCTATCATTACTCTTTGATGATGATCAAGCTTTATGACTATCTGGAGTTGCAATTACCGAGCCCTTTTCCTCTATATATGAGAAATTGTTTGAAGGATGAAAGTTTTTCCTCGGATGACGTCATCTTTTTTTTATAGGAAAAAAAATTATCATCCAACGGTTGATATCTCTTCTTTTTATTCATTGGATGGTCAAGATCGTTCTGTTTTAAAGAGTGTTGATGTCACTTTTTAGGCATTGCGAATAGGTATGTTTCAGAGACGAGAGACTAATCAAGAAAAGTTGTGATTTTTTTATAATCGTAGTGAAGAGATGCAAATTTCTATCAAGAGTTGTGATTTTCTTTTTTTTATACATTAGAACAAAACTTAAATTGTTCACAAACACAAAATATGGGTTCTCTAACAAATTTTGTCAACTTACGGTTATGCCGTCTCCATTTTGAAGACTATCGCTGTGTTCTTCTCCTATCATGTTAACCACCGTCAGTTTTAGTTTCTTCGGTATTTCTTTTGATATCCGAGAACACAAAATCATCCTTCTCTTTCACTATATTTTTCTTCTTGGAGTCTCGTCACTTGCCACCGCTCTTGTATTTGTCTCCGTCAATACATCATCCTTAGATTATTTAATTTGGCGAAGTCTCTTACATATAGCACTAGCTAGCAATTATACTAAATATAATATTTTTGTTCCTTATGTCTAAATTGGAGTCTCTTGAATAGCCACGTTTTTGTTGTTGGTCAAGTCATGATTTACGATCTTAGAGCATCTGCATTGGAGACATTTTGTATGTGTCTTTAAATATAAAATTATTAAAAGTTGAGTAAAAGGAAGAAAGAGAGTGTTTTTGGTTGAAATAATGGGGTGTATTAAAATATAAAATTAATAAAATTTGAATAAAAAGATGAGATAGTGGATATTATTGGAGAGAGGGTGTCTCGGAGAAGACAAAGTTGGAAAGAAAATGGATGAAAGTTGGAGTATGTTTAAATATAAAATTAATAAAAGTTGAATAAAAGGAWGAAAGAGAAGGTATAAARTTGAGTAAAASGAAGARAGAGTGTGTTTTTAATATTTTTTTATTTAGAGACATCCACATTTGGTCTCCAATGTAGATGGTCTTAGAGCATCCGCAATGATGAGCTTGTTTAAAGGGTTCTA